GCGGGGGCCGGGGGCCGGGCCGGGGAGGGCCGAGGCCTGCTTCCGCCGCGCGCCCGCCCGACCCCTCGGCCTCCGGGCCGCCGCGCGCCGCGCCCGGCCGCCGCCTTTGTTGCCCGCGGCCCGCCGGGGAGAGGCCGGGGCTCGGCGAGGCCTGGGGCGGCGGCGCGGGGCCTGCGCGTCTCCTCGGCTCACCGCCTGGCCACTCGGCCCCTCCTCGGGCTCGGCGCTCGGGGCCCGGGGCCGGAGGGCGCGCTCGGGAGGGCCCAGGCCGCGTCGGGCCGCCGCCGACCCGGGAGGTCGCGGGGGGCCGGGAGCCTGGCTCGCTCCCGGTGAAGGCGCTTCTGGCTGTTCACGTCCTTCCATGGGTGAGGGCATTGTGGGTTTCGCGCTGCCCCTGCGACCGACACGGGCCTTGATGTTTAATTTGCTTCAGGAGTTGGCAACTTCAGGGACACCATGGTGGCTCGTCATGTAGCAGAGCTAGTGACATTTCTCGGTGGCAGGTCCTGGCGCAAAACTTGGAATGTGTGCAGTGATCTGTATGCCACCTTACCATTGAGTCGGAATGTGAAACTTGGGGTCCCCATTCCCACGTTTTGGAATTAAGGGCCAGGTAGGGATATGTGGTGGAACTCAGGTTCCCAGGAATGACATGCATAATGTAGGATTCAGTTCTACAAATGTTTGTTGAACGTCTACCCCTGCTAGGGCGATATGCTGCTGTGTATGAAGACGGAGAACATAGTAATCACGACGATAACGTGAATGAGACGCAAAACGTTTCCCAAGTACGTTTTTAATTGACTGTGTTCCTGGGAATAAAGATATATTTGTAATCAAACAAGAGTAAACAGGCATCTACTTCAGGATGAAATATCGTCGCGTCTTCTCAACCATAGTAGGCATTAATTTAATTTGACGTTTTTTTAACGTCCCAACTGCCACAACATGAAATCCACTTAGCTTACTTGAATGAATGAATTTTAGAAGGAATATTTAGTGCTGTGGAGAGTCGGAGTTATTTACCAAGTTGCACAGAGAAAACCATTTGAAGTAGCCTGTGATACTTGCCCTGTGCTAATTTCGCCTCTGTCCTGTGTCACCTAGCGTGGATATGGTGAGTGTCAGGGTCTGTCCCAGCTCTAGACAAAATGTGGCCTCAACCCTTTGGTTCCAGCACCCTCCCTCATGTTTTCTTGTTGCCTTTGGGGAAGCTGGCCCATTGACCGTGGAGTTCGTAAAGAAGAACATTATCTGGGGTTTGGCAAGTGCTTTCCACTGTTTGGTCTGGGTAAAGATCAGCCAGGATATTCACCTGAACCTTTACCGTTTTAGGACTCCCTTCAGCATCTCTTTTGAAACAGTGTTTCCCTTTATGATGATCTTTAGAATCTTCTGAATTGGTGGGAAGTCCCTGGCACTGCCCATTTCCACTTCTTTTAGTGGGAAGATAGGCAGGCCTTAAGCATGGCCTCCACAGGACCCAGGGGCACACCCTCAGGTGTCACCTGGCGCCTTCCCTTAGCAGCACCTTGCAGGGAACGGCAGAGGAGGGGTTGGGTGCCACTGACCAGGGGCTGGGAGGAAAAGCTCTGCTGCTGCCCTGACTGGATTCCGAGTCATTTTGTGGTCCTGCACGTTCTTTGCGTGGCTCTCTTTTTAGGGAAGGGAAGCAAGTATCTTAAGTCTGCCTCATTATGTAACTTCACTACTCAGAGAAAGTTCTGGTAGTTTTCTCCATTTTGGTCAGTTTTCAGGAAACTTTTGTTACTAGTAGTATGTTTTATTTTGCTCATAGCAGTAATTGTGTGATCTTGTTTAAAAGTCATAATATACTCCCAAGAAAGAAAATGTTACATCCTTTTCTGAATTGGTGGCAATTACTGTTATTGTTCTCTGAAAAATATGCAGAAACGTCAAATGGGTTGATACACACAGCACAGAAATATGTTGAAGTTTGTAGTCAAATACTCCATGTTATTTGTAAGGTCGTATAACTAATGGATGTGTATACAGTCAGGCACCACAGAAAGACATTTCAGGCAGCGATTGACCGTGTGTACGACAGTGGTCCCATTAGATTAGTACCATATAGCCTAGGTGTGTAGTAGGCTGTACCATCTAGGATTGTGTAAGTATACTCTATGGTGTTCGCACAACGACGAAATTGCCTAAGGACACATTTCTCAGAACTATCCCTGTCGGTAAGATGGTGACTGTCTTAATAAGTGTAGGCAGGTAAGCGACCTACAGCTAAGATCATCTTTTGCTATTTTCTCTTTGTTGCATCTTTTATGGAAAGTGAAGATTGTCTAATTTAGTTCTCTTGTCCTCATCCCTAACTTCCAATTTTGAAAATGGCACATCTGTGGTGCCTGAGTACTTTTGTAAAATTATTCCTTTTACTAGGGAGAAATTTATAATACTAATATATGTCATAAAAGGGGGAATTTTCTTGTATGACTAGATTGATCGAAAGAATTGACCAGGTAGTAAAAACAGAAACAGCGGTGGGACATGTTTTAAATTGGGAGTGAGATTGTCATTAATTTTATTGTGGTTAATTTCTTATGTACCGCACGTTGGTTTAGCTACTAAGTGGCGAAGGCTTTAGAACTGACGGCACGTTTTACTGTCAACTGACTTCAAGGTCTTTGATGATCCATACGAACATTAAATTTTACTTAGTTGAGACAGTTGTTTTTAGTTGGCTGTTTCAAGAATAGACATACTTAGATAAAGTCATTTAAGATTTCACTTCTCACGTTGCGCTCAGAGGACGTTTTGGAGGTGTTAGATCTTTAGGAAAGAGTGTATCTTACTAGTATGTGACCTTGAACACATTTTAGATTCCCTTTGAGTCCTGTTCCTCACGTGCAGCTAAAGAGGGGATAATAGTCCATCTGACAGTTATGTTGAGTATATGTTTTGTTTGAAGTAAAATCCACAGTCTTTACCGTTGGCCTCAAGATTGCTGCCTAGTTCTTCAGCTGGTCTTGAACAGCCATCTCTCTGCCTTACCAGAGAGTTATGCTCCAGCCTTTCTGTTCCTCAACATCCCAGGCTGCTTCTGGCTTCCTCATCTTTGACACAGTAGTTCTATTTGCCTAGAATGTTCTTCAGTAGCTCCTTGTCTGGTTGGTTCATTCTCAGATCTTAATGCCCAGGGTCACCACCTCAGAGAAGCCTTGCCTGACTAGTCTTCCTTATAGCTCCTTCAGTAATCCCGTCTTATCAATTTGTATGTTTCCATCATAACATTTATTACAGTCTGTAATTGTTTACTTGTTTCTCGTCTATCTCCCCACATAAGTTTCATGTGGGCAGGGTGTGGTCTGTGGTCTTTCTCTTTCTTCTCCCTAACATTCCCATGGGGGCCTGATCACTGAGTAGGGATGTGGTGTACAGAAAGTGCTTGTAGTTTTTACATCGTTATCTACACATTAAAGACAAAGATATGCTGTGTAGATCTTAGAAATCCGTTGCTTAGTTATCCCTATCGGAGCTGATCTGCTCAGCTGAATAAATTATTAGCACTAATAAGGCCAAAGTTCTTGTACTGCACGGCCCAAATAGCACCACAGAGAGAGAATTGTCTCTACCTGTAGGGCCATAACGTGTATCTGAGTTCACACACATACCCAACTGGCTGACCGCAAAGATGCACGGGCCTTCATCACCTCTGGAAGTGTAGTTATTAATAGTGTGTGGAGAGTAGCTACTCGAAAGCACATTTCCCTTGATGTTAGCTTACATAGCTTAGTAAGGTAAAAACCTCAGTTCTCTGGGACCTTCTGGCATCCTTGGTTATCTGATGTAGAATTAAGCAGGAAGGAAAAACTCATTTGAAGTTAGACAAGCCAGAGACCTGGGTGACTCCCATCACAACTGGTGAAGGCAGTCTTTCCTAGGGATGCAAATCTAGGTTTGAAGTTCAGCACTGTGATTTTGTAGGGTAGGTTTGTAGAATAAACTGTCTTATTTGCCTTATCTATAAAATAATAATAGTGTCTTTCTCAACATTGGTGTGAAAATTTAATAAGATAATGCATGTAAATGTATGAGTTCAGTACCTGGAATATATCAAGTGCTAATAGTAATAATTAGTTTAAAATACACTGTGATTAGTTGAAAAGAGTATTCTGGTCAGTCAGCAGCGTGTATGTAAGACTTGGTTGTTCTTGTTTAGGAAGCCCTGTATGGGGAAAGGGTGAGAGACCAAAGGGACAAGGAAAACGGGAATACAAGAGGAAGGAGAATGGGAGTCTATGGAAGTGTTAACGGTGGGGCTGCTAGAATTGTGAGGATTGCGATGGCTGCAGTGTGAGCAGCGACTGGATTCTTGGTGCTGGCTCGTTGCAGTTGGTTGGTGGGAGATCTGGAACAGAAAAGGTGCTTCACTTGACCTTCTGCAAGGCCCTGCCCTCTTGTTTTCATACTGTTTGTTTTAATGTTATTTTGTCACTCTTAACAGCCGTCACACTGAAATTTTTTCTTAAAATTATTAAAAGGGCACCACACTTGGACACTATGTTTGGGGCACGGTGACTATTCCATTGTCCCTGGGAGCAGACTCTTGAGTAATAGAGGAGAAAGAAGAGAAGACCGAAGTGCTCTGAAGGCCTGGGAGACAGACAGTTACCTGAGCATCAGGAAGCCGTGAAGGTGTCGCTGTGCCATCCTGAAATTTTCCAACAGGTAAATTCAGTCATCGGAAGAGGCATCTGTCTATATACCGCAGTTTAATGACACTTGAGATTATATTTAATATACATGGTTGTGTTTAAAGTATCTCTTTTAAGAAGGCAGAGGAATAGGTGGCTCCCATTAGATAAGATTTCCATCAAAAACAGTTTTAAGGGTTTAATGTTATTCTTTAGAACTATTTAGAAAGTATTCACCAAGTGGTCTGGATAGCCTCTTCTTTGATGCTGCTTATGGTTGTACTTGTCATAATAGACATTATTCTGGCCACACCAGTGACATGCTGGATGGGCGAAGCAACAGGGTTGATATGCTTTTAAAGGAAGATGAGTGCTCACTGGTAGACTTGTTACTTTATCTGATTTTCCTTTCAATGTTTATAATTATGAAGGTGTTTGCTATTAAAGTTTAATTTTGGTTTTTAAAGGAAATATTGTCATCCTTTGGTCAATAGTCATTTTTGTCTATTGGCATTGCTTTTTTTTTTTTTAAAGGTTGGCACCTGAGCTAACATCTGTTGCCAATCTTCTTTCTTTTTTTCTTCTTCTTCCCAAAGCCCCCCCCCCCCCCCCCCCCCCCCAGTACATAGCTGTGTATTCTTGTTGTGAGTGCCTCTGGTTGTGCTATGTGGGATGCTGCCTCAGCATGGCTTGATGAGCGGTGCCTAGGATCTGAACCGGTGAAACCCTGGGCCATCGAAGCGGAGTGTTTGAACTTAATGACTTGGCCAGGGGGCCGGCCCCCCTGACTTTGCTTTTAAAGTAACAGATACATATATACTTAGAGAATAACATTATTACCAAATATCACAGTCTGTCAGAATATGTAAGCATGTACTAAACATAGAATTATATTAGGATTTTAGTGGTTTTATACATTTGCAGAATTACTGCATTTTAGAATTAGATCTTTTTGATTATTGACCAGCTTTGTCCTTATCCAGGTGATGAGAAAATGGAGACTAAGAGTGGTTCCATAAGCTGCCCAAAGTCACATACCTCATCACTAGCAGATTTCAGAATGGAGTCTGATGTATGCACCTCTTCTTGCCGTTGATGCAAGATGGTTTCATTTACTTATGAGAGCTGAGGAGTTTGAATTTGTGTCTTCATGGAGGATTTCACAGTTGAATCGGCTTTTGGAGGGTGACCCATATTTTATTGGGAAGAGCTATAGGCAGCAGGGACAGTGCCTCAAACAGGCTGAACAGCAGGGGCTATAGCATCCATCTAGAGATTCTTTTCTTCTCTTTCCTAAGTGCAGTTACCTGTTTTCTTTTTCTTAGTTTACCTCCTAGAAAGGTGAAGAGTTTGTGTTATTCTTTTTGGGACTTTGCATGTCAGAAAATGTCTATATTCTAAATATTTGATTTATAGTCTGTGTATAGAATTCTAGGTTAATGCTAATGTCAGGATAAAGCAGGTTATGCTGCAGTGACAGATTAACTTTGAAATCTCAGTGCATAAATAAAGGGTTATTTCTTGCTTTCGCCAAGTCTGCTGCAGGCCTGCTGCAGGCTCCTCTGGCATCTTTCTTTGGATCCAGTCTGCTTTCACCTGCACTTCCCCAGCACATCACTCCATGGCTCTAAGTTACTACAGTAAATGCAAAAGAGAGCTGAGAGCTCACAAGCTGGCACTTAAATATTTGGCCAGAGGTGACACATGTCACTTTTGCTCAATGTCCATTGGCCAGAACCAGTCATGTGGCCCTGCATGGATGCTGAGAAGTGTGGAGGTGCACAAGAAGAGTCACTGATTGTAAATGTGTGCCATACTGGAAGTAAATTTTCTCTTGAAATTTTGAAGGCGTTGCCCCACCAGCTTCCAGCTTTCCGTGTTACTATTAAGTCGATTGCCATCTGTTTCCCAATCATTTGCATGTAATTTTTTTCTCTTTCTGGAAGCTTTATAGTACCTTTGTATTATCTCCTAAATTTTAAAATTTCACATACCTGATGATTATTTTTTCTTCTTTGGGTGTACTGAGCATTTCATGGATCCTTTTAGTCTGTAAACTTGTGTTCTTCAGTTCTGGGAAAATTTTAAAATTTCTTCCCCTTCATTTTCTTTCTTTTCCTGGCTGAAGCTCTTCTTTGTTGGATGTTGGACCCCCTGCATTGATATATTAATTTTTTTTAGTTTTTTCCTCAATTTTTCAAGTCAATTTTTTGGGGGGGCTTCTTTTCTTGGGAGAAAATTTCCTCAGGTTTTCTTCTATGAGTTTTTAATTTTGATTCTAAGAGTTTTGTTTTCTAACTGTTCTCCTACCACTTTGTAAAATAAATCGCATCTGACTCTTCTTTCCAATTGGTGATACCTTTTCGTAGCCTTGCTTTTTGTTGCCTTCCCTTCCACAGGCTTGGATTTCAGCTTTCTCCAGTCTGGTTAAGCCAGTTAACACTGTTCTCATCTGCTGTCGTTTGCTTCCCAGTTCTCGTTGTCCTTGTGTTTTTTGAGGATAGAGGAGATAAAGAAGTACGTTTCATCAGTGGCTCATCCAGAGTTTCTTTGTTTTTTTTAATAGTTTTTGTTTGTTTTGCTATCATCAGTGAATATTAAAGCCTTTTACTCTGAGGGAAACCCACATGTAATTTTTCTTTAAATAAAGGTTTTCAGTTAATGCTGTCATGAAGCCCCTCTATGTCGCTGAGTTCTGTGTAACTTAATTATGAAATGCCTGCTGATCTGTAGTGGGTAACATGAGTTATTTTAAGTTAGGTTATTTTAAAAGCATCAACAGATCCCATGTTTAGCCACCTATAGTAAGTTGCTTTTGACAATTAAGTTGTTATTTTACGATGCATATAAGCTTTTTCATTTTGTAAGATTTGTGTGATTTGCTTAATAGGGGTATATTACTAATTTGAATAATTATCCCTCTGCAGGATCCCCTTTATCTTAAATGCTTAATGAATGAGGTTTATGTTTGCTGTTAATATACATTTAATAAATCTTATGTGGATTACTTTTTGTATCCCAAATCTGCTATTCTTAATTTGGGTGTACTTAAAGAAAATGAAGAAAAGACTATTTTAACTGAAAGCTCATATTCTCTAATGCAAACTGAGTGAAAAAATCTTATGTGTTCTCTGCGACAGCATTTGAATAATTGACAAATTGCTTTTTAAATTGGAGCTTTTGTGTTAAGACTTAACACTGAGAGCCGTCAAAGCAATTGTATTACTTTTCAGTTTTTGTGTGCGTGTTGCTTTTAGAAGCTAAAAATTTTTGCTTTAGCAGTTCAATATATTTAAGAGATTTTATGTATAAACAAATTAGTTTAAATTTTGAAGAATGAAAAGTAATGAAGGAAATTCATCATTGTATTATTTGCTATAGCACCCCTGCTCCAGAATAAAAACCAAAACAGATCTTTGGACCGTACTTAATTGTTAGTAGTTTGTCAAAAATTCTCAAAGGATAGTATCTACTCTGTAGTTTAACCAGTGAGGTCCTACTTGCTGATAGGCAGTGAAAGTGGTAGGATTGTTTAGGGAATTTGCCATGTTTTTAGCTAAAACCTTAGTAAGTGCTCAGAAAGGTATAAAAATGTATACATTAGATATTTAATACATATATACATAAAGACAGTGATGAATTAGTATATAAGTGTACTACTTTTTAAATCCAACATGTTAAAATCGGAATTAAAAAATTAAAGAGTAGGTTTATTTCATTAATCCTTATCACCCAGCTCTATTAACATTTCAAATGATTAAATTTATGAACATTTGTTTCATATTCAATTTAATAGGAATGTATTGAACACAGTTTTAGGAAAAGATGCTTATAAATATTCACGTAAATCTTCTCTGCAGGTTAAATTTCTAAGTCTCTGCATATTTTATTTTCATTGAATCAGGTAGTTTTAGAGCTGGACATGCTTTAGAGATCAGCCTCTCTGTTTTATATGGGAACACTGAGACTCAGGAGATTCACGCAGTGTCACACAGCAAACTTAGTGCTACCCTATATTTTTGTGTCAGTAGCCTACAAAGTGGGAATGAATCACTTGAAAATTTATTAGAGCTTTTGCTGTAATTAGAAGTTTATTTTTAATTTATAAAATTTTAAATTTTATGGCAACTTTAAGTCCATTTTTCTTATCTTTAAATTTCTTTATCCACCTTTGTAGCCATGCAAATATTTATATTGCTTTCTAAAATAAAGCTTATTGTGCTGAGATCTAGAGACTCTAAAGGAAGTCGAAGCAATTCTGCGACATTTGCTATGTTTAATTTATTTGTATTTGCATGTTGTTGTCAGGAACTGTGAAGAGTTGGAGATTTTTCCCTATGTGCAAGCTAAGTTAGCCTGAAATAGTTTCATGGTTACTGCCAGAAGACATGAGAGTCCTGGGCCAGAGATAAAGGACTTTATTAGTCAGGGTAGTATTAGCAGCCAGTGTCAGCATTTGTGCTAGTTCCCTGAGCACCAGTGCCATGTTGAGAAAAGACTGTAGGGGGCCGAAGGAGAAATCAAGGAAACTAATTAGTAGGCTATTGCAGTAATGCAGGTGAGATAGGACAGTAGCTTGGACCAGTGTGGTGGTAAAAAGTGATGGGATTCTGTGTATATTTTGAAGATGGCTGAGATTGGGATCTTGTGACATACTGGATGTGGAGTATGAGAGAATGAGAGGAGTCATGGATGATTCCACAGCTTTTGATCTGAGCAGTTGGAAGAATGGAGTAGCCATAAACAAAAGTGGGAAAGACTGCAAGTAGAGCAAGTTTGGGGGTGGCGTGAAAGAAATCCAAGTTTTGTTTTGAATTTAAGTCTCGGATATCTATATGACACAAAGTGGCGATGTCAAGACAGGGAATTGACTACAGCTAGGCTAAATTAAGAGAAATTTGAGAGTGGATGACACATGGATGTTATTTAAAGCATGAGGATGAGTGAAGTCATTGAAGGGCATAAGTGTAGCTGGAAAAGAAATGAGCAACATCTGGGTGCTGGGGTACTCCAACATTAAGAGACTGGAGGCAG